CAGTTCCAGTTTTTGATTTAAATATTTCGAAAATAGGTTTAGGTATCTCCGAAAAGACATTGACGACGATATTACTGCAAATGTCATCTATACCTGGGGACCTGTTTATTTTAAAAGAGTTTATTGCATTTTCGAGTTCATCATTTTTTAGTTCTTTTAATATAAATTCTTTGTTGACTTTATTTAGATAAGTTTCAAATGAGTTGTTTGGGAAATGGACCTTTGAGGCTAGATTTGGGCCTATGTTGACAAAAAAACTATTAAATTTTTCTGAAATTGCATTAGTATCGTCATACTCTTTATTATCTAAGACAATTTGGGCAGATAAATGATTTATTTTGCAGGTTTTTATCCCAATTATTTCTTTGATGATATCCCAAGTTTTCTTAATCTCACCGTTTGTGAGATTAAGAAAACTTGGGATATCATCAAAGAAAATCTTGGGCACACTAACTCTACTTATAATAATTTTGAAAATTTCTTCAAAATTATTATAAGTAGAGTTAGTGTGCCCAAGATTGCATTCATGGTATACCTTATCCCACTCTTCAGGTGAAAGTGAGTCCTTAAATTGTTGAATAGCAAATTTATTGACTTTTCTTTTATAAATTTTACAACTATTATTAGGTCTTGTATCTTGCGTCAAGAAAAAGAAAATAGGAAAATGATCAGATATATCTGTTTTTATTATTCCTGCCTTAAGAGAAGTATCAAAGATCGAATTAGTTAATATATTGTCTATTGAAGTGATTGAAGTTGGAGTTACTCGAGTTGGTTTGTTAATAATTGGGAAGATGTAATGTTGAAGCATTTCGTCAAAAAAAAGTTTATTATTGGCATGTTTATCATATTCTAAACAACCTATGTTTATGTCTCCAATACAGAATTTTTTTTTTTTGCTCATTGTTGTTTTTTATTAAAATTTGTTTTAAATGATTGGAAAATTTTAATAAAACACCTTCAGGTGGCCGGTAACATGTGGAGACCAGTATGTTTTTTGATTTGTTGCTAGTTATTTCAATTGTAAAAACCTCACATAAACATAAAAAAAAAACATCCTTTCTTCCATTGTCTTCATGAAAAGGGACTAATCCCATTAAATCTTCCGAACTTGGTTGTAAATAACTCTTGTATAGTAAGAGAGCGTTCATTGTTATTTCTTGGTGTTGTTATTGATGAAAATGTGAGTTGGAAGGAGCACATAAATATATTTCACAATAAAATTTCGAAAAGTATTGGTCTACTTTACAAAGCTAAGCTGTTATTAAATCAAACCTGTTTAAAATACATTTATTTTTCATTTATTCATAGCTACCTAAGTTATGCAAACGTTGCCTGGTGTAGCACTAATGCGACTAAAATAAATGAACTAATATTTGAATAAAAGCATGCTGTAAGAATTATTGGAAATGTAGATCGTTTCTCACACACTAAACCTCTATTCATTAAATTTAATATTCTCAGCGTATTTCAACTAAATCTTTATCAAATTCTTATTTTTATGTTCAAAGTTAATAAAAAAATATTACCTAATTTATTTGACACTTTTTTGGAAAAAATAAATCATCTATACCCAACACAATTTTCAGAAAACAATTATATTCAACCTAAAACCTATTACTCTGTTACTAAGTTTTCAATTGCAAAAAGAGGTCCTAAACTATAGAACACGCTATTGAATAACCCTACCGGCACATCTAGTTTCTTTTTTGGAAATAAAACCTATATAGGCACGTGTTTTTCTCGATCCAGGCGTAAACCAAAAGCACGTGTATATTACGGGCAGTTTTACTAGAGTTTAACACGTGTTTTTTGAGGTTTTAAAGTCAAATTTAAATGTCGCATGTTTTTATCAGTGGTTTCACATTCCTTACGGAAAGTTATTACTGCGAAACCATTAATACTTTAACTGGCATTTATGTAAAGTAAAGCCCGTTCTCCATTCAGAACTTTTGATATTTCCTTTGTGCTCTTAACCATCGATATACTGTTAGTCAATTTTTACATGATGAAATTTTTTTTTTATTTTGTTTTTTTTTATTTTATATAATAAACTTTAATAAAAAACATAAAAAAAACATGTATAAAAGACACATTAAGTTTTTGTTTTTTTGTTATTCGTGTATTATCTCTTATTTTATGATCTAAATTCAAAAAGTTTATAAATCTAAAACCAGTTAGAAAAAATGAATTTAATTAATAAAATGATTTTATTTTTTTAGATATATTACACTTAAACATAGCGTAAAATATATTTAATTATATTTATAGTTAACGTTACATTTAGTTAACGTTATTTTATTTTAACGCAACGTTTTACTTAACGTTTATTTAACGAGTTACTTTGCTTTGTATTTTTAATATTGACAGTTTTATTTAAAGATGCTTGGTGATTAGACTAAACTACCCAGCTAGCACACTTACATTGGGCCAACGTATGTAAAACCATCGCGAACGTCGGCTCTTTTTTTCTATGCAAAACCAATGTTGATCCAATGTCATTTGGTTAATGATAAAATTATTACCGACAGAGCTAAAATTATCTGGCAAATTTACATTGGTCCAACGTATGTAAAAACGTCACAAAAAGTTGATTGTTTTTACGATCTAAACCCAATGTATGCGACCAAACATTCCTATTGCGAAGCTAATTTAAATAAAATCTTCCGTGATTATTAAAATATCAAACCACAATCAATACAAACATGATTTTTGTTCCGATGATCAAGCTATAATTGGTACATCTTTAGACATATATAAGTTTATAATGTTTACGGCGGTTGTAAGTATATGAATATGTGAATCTGTATATATATATATATATATATATATTAGTATCTAAACTCAATTCCGAATAATATTGAATGCAACGTTGCATCAACATAAATACAACGTTGAAACGTTGTTACGTTGTTTAACGTAAAATTCAACGTTGGGCCAACTTATAAAATAAAAGGTTGAATCAACTTTAAATAAATGTTTCATCAACATTGGTTTTTAGTTGTTGGCGACGTCGCATTTGTAACCATAATAAAATAAAAACAATATTGGCAGGCGATGTTGGGCCAACGAAACGCGTGACACCAATAGCTAAGTATGAAAGGTCAAAGTCGAACATCGGTGCATTATCAGAATGCATTTTTTGGGATTCAATCTTTAAATTTTTTTTACTATTTTCTATCTGAAGAATTTTTTCTTTTTGACTTGCGAGCTCTGCAAGCAGCTCTGCTTGCTTTGCTTTACGTTTTTCTGCAGAAATTTTTCAGCTTTTACTCTATTTTCCGACTTTGGGTTATCCATGTTGTAGTTTTTAGCATAATTTTCTCTCTTTAAATGAGTTATTGCTCAACATTGCTCAACATTGCTCAACATTGCTCAACATTGCTCAACATTGCTCAACATTTTTCTCAGCATTACTAGCAATTACCTCCATAAAGATTTTGTCACATCAGCATGAGTTACCAAAGCAACTGAAAGTTACCGTTGATAAAGCAACTGAAAGGGAAGCTAATCCTAAACGGTGGTATAATTCACCGGCTAAAAACACAAAAAGCCTTTTGAATTATAGAGTTATTATTATGATTATTTTTAAGAGCACCATGATTGCCGACTGGAAAGACTTTTTTCCCGAGCCCAGTATAAGCTATAGATGCCATTTTTGAAACTCCAGCGCCCATACTTTGCCCCCCTTGTTCAGTGTAACTGCTATATAGCTCTGTCACCTCGAGAGCAGTATAACTATTAACATTGAAATTAATACTACAGTATTGATAATAGTTAGTGCATCCATCATCAAAACAGCTCAAGTTTTTTGCTTAATGATTGATGAATAAGCGCTGCTGCGTAAGGTTTAAATGAAAGTTGTGAAAGGATTTTTTCAATATCATCACTCGTTAGTTTATTTTCTTTTTCTTTTATTATTATTGAGAAGCTCGACCTGTCTTTTAGCGGGAGGATAGCAATGCACGACAGCTGATTTCTTACGACTCGCGGGATGCCCGTATACCTCTAGGTGAACACTCACAACGAATGCTTTAAATGCCTTTCTAATATTGCAATTTTTGAGAGTGATGAACGTCTTGAATCTATTTCAGACTCGCATATGCAGTCGTCAACGATAAAAATACACTGCTCACCCGCCATTACTTTTGAAGAACTTTCAATTATGCCTAGCACACCACAGCTTTGAATCCACTCACAAGGCACTATGAAAAAGTCTACTACTTTAACCCACGGGCTTTCTAGGTAATTCCGACTCCACAAGATTATAATGCATTTTAAGATTATGATAGCATTTTCTTTAACGCGCTTAGTAGGCTTAACACTAGTGCCGTTTTTCATTTGACCTTGATCCCATCCTTTTTAATATCTTTATAAATGATATATTCTTATTTATTAAAGATACTGAATTGTGCAACTTTGCAGATGATAATACGCTGTATGCCTGCGATTACATTTTTCAATTGCAAAAAGAAGGAACTAATACCATTGCCTGGTTTAAGTTAAACTCGATGGTTGTCAACCCTGATAAATTCCAATTACTTTTAGTTGGTTTAAAAAACACAAAAAATCAATACCTAAAAATAGGTAATATAAGAGTTTTTGTCTCTGATAGGGTGAAAGGACTTGGTGTTACAATTGATAAGAATCTATATTTTGGAGAACACAAATACTTATGCAGTAAAACCAATGGTAAATGTTTTGATCTTTCATGCATAAGAAGTTTTTTACCCCGTAGTAAAGCTACCTTGTTGTTTAACGCCTTCATAATGTCAAATGTTTCTTATTGTTACCTAACTTGGATGTTTTGTTCTAAATACTATGACAACCTTATGAATAGAATTCATAAAAAAGCTCTTTGTATTGTCCATTAAAAGGTTTAACTTATCTCTTGATGAATTGTTAAGTTTTGATAATAGTTCGAGAATCCACTTAAGTTAATTTGCGCTTTCTTATGATAGAAGTTTTTAAATCAATTAATTATCTAAATCTAGAATTTATGAAGGATTTATTCAATACAAAAACCTTCCTTTTAAACTTCGTTGTAGCAAAAAAAATGGTTCTACCTTCAAATGACTCCAATTATAAGGATACATGTTGTACTATATTTAGAGCCATCTCGTTATGGAACACTCAAGATAGCAAGACCATATCCTCTAAAAGTTCTGAGGTGTTCAAAAAATATATCAAAAATTGGTATGCAAAAAATTGTTATTGTAAAACCTGCTGTTTTAATTACTATTTTGATTTATCCTGACATTATAATGCAATATTTACTCATTTTTCTGTAATGAAACGGTTGTAATATGAATATTTTAATGTTTTTTCTAATTTTTATATATATATATATATATATATATATATATATATATATATATATATATATATATATATATATATATATATATATATATATATATATATATATATATATATATATATATGTATATATATTTATACTTTAAATTTTCACAACTGCCTATTAATTACAAATTTTCTTACACTGAGATAACATAAACCAAATATACTTTCAATACAAAAAAATAATATTTTACAAAATACCGTTAAGATTAACATAGGAAGTAATAATTAAATATGCTATGACTTGATAAGGGTTTTTTCTGTTGTAGGGAAATCGTAGAAGACTGAGATTAGTCTTATCATCGAGAACCTTGGGGTATTGCGTACTGATATAAACATTATGATTCTCATAAAACCAATATTTTAAATATTATTGATGTAGACTTTTTTTTTCTTTTTATTATACTTTGTATGGTGTTAGTGTTGTGGTTTATAATAAAAATATTAGCTTTAATTTTTAAATAAAAAAAATACACTTTGATTTTTGATTGATTGCTGATTGTTTGAATGTGAGCGTAAATATTATTTTATCATTAGAACATAAAACATTTCTAAGTAATTATCTGAATATTAGGTGAAACTAAGTTAGATGACTTTTATGTTCAGAGACGAATTTTATATTCAGGTTAAAACGCCCTATCGGCTTGATATCTCTCAACATAGTGGAGATCTTCTTGAAGGCGTTAAACAACAAGGTAGCTTTATTACGGGATAAAAAATTTCTTATGCCTGAAAGATCAAAACATTTACCATTAGCTTTATGCATAAGTATTTGTGTTCTCCAAAATATAGATTCTTATCAATTGTAACACCAAGTCGTTTCACCCTATCAGAGGCAAAAACTCTTATATTACCTGAGCACATGATTTTTGAGTTTTGACTTTAAAGAAGTTATATTGTCAATAAAAAAGAAATTGTGGTAAAATTCATAATTAATTTGTTTTATAAATAAGGACCGCGATAAGAAAAAGAAAAATGAGATTTTTTTTGTCTTTTCCGGGGTACAATAAAGTTACCAGTTGCTCTTGTGTTTAATTTGTTGATATTAAATTTACAGAAATTTTCTGTAAATTGGTTTGGAACTAATCCTAATTAGTATTTTAGCATGAACAATATATTAGCATAGAAATTAATTTGGTAAATGTTTAGGGCTTTCGTTTCTTTTAATACGGGTTTAGCGTAGGTCAGTTTGTTTTTATGGTGTATTATTCTAGAGGCATGTTTATACTTTTTAAATTGTAGCTTGTTTTTTGTTTTTAAGTACTTTTTAAAAAACTAATCGTAAATTGACTATATATCTGTAGACATTTATTTTTTAGCGATTTTCATGTGAGTCTGTATTGTCTATAATTGTTAAATGTGTTGATTTTAATTAGTTTTATTCTTTTTAAAACTATTGTAACCATCAACAAAAAATAAAGTTTTTAAATTAAAATTAAAAAAAAAAAATTGATTCGAGTGATCTAGGAAAATTTGGAGTTTATCTTGTCGCCGGTGAAGTAATCCGCCAGTGCCTCTTTGACATGAGGTGGATATCACCCACACCCGTACCAAAGGTATTTGAATGTTGGAAGCTCAGCTTTCTGTTAGTAAGGAAAAAGTCTATACAGGAAGGGTTATTGACCGATTTAAAACAAGTCGGTTGTTTAATTAAATTAGTACATTGATAAAGTTGAAGGAATTCCTTCATTTTTTTTTTCTGAAGGTTGTATATTAAAATCTCCTATTAGAATAAAATCAAGATATCATTGCAAACAAAAGTCAAGCACTCCTTTAAGGTGATTGAAGAAAGAGTCACAATTCTGATTTGGGAGTTTATAAGTTGCTATTATGAGCCATTTCCGCATTCTTAATTTAATTTCAAAAGTGATAATTTGAATGTCTCTGGGGAAATCCTTTTTAGCTAATCTTTTAGAAATGATATTTTTATTTATGTATACAAGAAGACCTCCACTATGTAGAGAAATTTCAAGCCGATAAGGCGTTTTATAACCTGGGTATAAAAATTGAGTCATCTAATTTGGTTTCACCTAATATAAGTATACCAACAGTTTTATTTATATAGGTAATAATATATGAAAATTTATTACGAATTGAATTAATATTTAAAAATGCTAAACTGATATTTTTGAGATATTTGGCCCTTAGATTATCCAAATCAGAATTTAGACTAACACCTTCAATAGTACTTGGTATGGTAGATTGTTTATAAGAATCTATAGGGGAATGTCTATCAAATAGACTTCAGATATGCAATAAAGTTCATGGCTAGTCTACCTGATCCTTGTGTGTTTAGGTAAAGACCACGTAGCCCAAGGTGTTCATTAGACAAATTATAGTTCTCAATAATATTAAATTGAGTTAGTTTTAATTTTTCGGCTAAGTGTAGCGATGTTAATTGAGCTTTAGCATTATCGAAACGACAAATCGGTGTAGATAAGATTATTAAACAAGAAGGGTTAGATTATGAAATGAAGGAAAAAAGATCTTTTAATTTTGCCAAAGCAGGTTCAGAAAAATCATTTGTACAATTATTTGTTCCAACATGCAGGATAATTTTTGAAGGTTCTTTTTTCAAAAGTGAAACTAGGTTACAATGCATGTCTTCAATGGTAGCACCACTAATGGCTCTTTGATTGGGGTGAAAGACACAATCATTGGCTTAGCCTTTGGTGCCCACTCACCATCGAAGAATTCTCAGAAGTGTCAGAAGGATCTCATGAAACTGGTACATGGGATATAGCTAAAATAAAGCTAACAAGGTGCGGAATCGTCCAACCAACGCTTGGCTGCCCTGCAGGACAATTTGTAAAGGCTGTGGTAAAATTTATAGGCCCGAGTTTTATAGGGAAGACTCATGCATGTTGAGTCTCTTTCTCGAGAGCTGGTACGACCGGTTAAAAACATACCGAAAGGTTTAACACTCGTAAGCTCTACAAAATTGCAACCGTCCTTAAGCTGGTTGAAGAGCAGTCTACTGAAGTCAGTTTCCATGAATGTAAAAATGGTTAGCTAAATGGTGATTATCTGGCCGAGCCATCAATATGCGTGGCAAGCTCATGTGGCGTTATGATCGTCCAGGCTCCGGCGTTTCTCATGAAATTCGGGGAGGATCTGTCTGGAGGTTACTAGTGCATGACGAACATGTTTGGTTATGCAACAGCCAAATAAAAGAGTTCGACCAGATCAACTCTACAGTTGTTAAACTAGATGAAATTTCAATGTCACCAGACATTTTGGAATCAATATCCAGTAGATAGCTTCGCCCTTCGAAGCCCACTTAAGTGCCCCCAACAGTTATAACAAATGTTGCCAACATTCTGGCTTTAAAATCTAATGTGACCAAAGTTATCACAAAAATTGTTCATCGACCTTTGGGAAATCGGCACGAGCCGGGAAATATTTGACTTGATAAAGGTGTTGTCGAGTCATTTACCTTGTGACCGAATGGAACGCCCATACGCTTTAGTCCAGCCGTAAACCTAAGTTAAGGGACAAACATATTGTCACAGAAGTTCTTAGTGCACGGAGCCAGGTTGTGTTTGAAGAGCATCTAACGCGTGGCCGAGCTGCCTTTCAACCTATTGACGGATTAAGTACTACTTAAGAAACGCGGCATATTAAAAATATTTAATTACGTTTTATGAATCAAGTACGTATAATTAACTAGGTAACTAAAATACTAATTATTATAAGTATATTGATATAGATAAGTTTCAGTTAGTAAACTTTTATAAATAAACCTAGACCTCAATAAAATATACTTAAAATATCTTTCAATGAACAAGAGTTAAATAATGAACATGACTTGAACAACATTAACTTTCCCATTTTAAAGGAAAAAAGGAAATTTAGAGCATGTAAGTCATTTGTTTGGGATCATGTAGATTTGCCTAAAACAAATAATACATACGTAATATGTCAATAAAGTAAAAACAAATTGTAAAACAAAGTATCCCGAGGATAATAGTAAATGGGAAATAAAATGGTTCGGCAATTCCACAAGCAACATAATTTGGTATCTAAAATCTGTTCATAAAATATTTGGACCTTCAAACTGTAATATCAAAAGACAAAAACTAGATGTCATTTACGATTTAGATTAGGAAAAAAATGAAGAAATAGAAGTTGATAAAAACTATATTAATAAAAGGTTTACATTAAAAAGAAAGAGTTTGTAACTGAGAAATAGCTTGATTTCCTACTCAAAGCAAACATGCCGATGTGTCTTGTAAATCACCAAGCATTTATTGATTCTGTTAAAAGTTTAAACCAAGATTACAAACTGCCTCAACGACAAACAATATCTTATACTTGAGTCCCAAAAATGGTATGTATATATATATATATATATATATATATATATATATATATATATATATATATATATATATATATATATATATATATATATATATATATATATATATATATATATATATATATATATGTATATATATATATATATATATATATATATATATATATATATGTATGTATATATATATATATATATATATATATATATATATATATATAAAATATATATATATATATAAAATATATATATATATGTATATATATAATATATATATATATATATATATATATATATTATATATATATATATATATATATATATATATATATATTTTAAAGAAATTTAGTATTAAACAATATACCAACTGTAAGGGTATGTATTTTTTTAACTTATTTTTAATATTATGTTTATTATTGTTATAAATAAATATTATAATGTTTTAGGGAGAAATATCATAAATATTAAAAAATTTAATAAAGATAAAGAATTAAGAACAATTGAGATAACAGAAAATGAAGCTCGAAAATATGAAGAAATTATAATTAAGATATAGGATTGACGAAAAGACTTAAAGAAAAACAAGATATATGATGACGTAAGGATAAAACTAGAGCAAGATGTTAAAACAAGATGGAATCCGTCATATGATATGCTTGATTCAATTTTTACAAATAAAGATGCTTTATTATCTATGAAATATGAAAACGGTGCTAAATGCATTTTTCAATATGTACCTTCAGATGACGAGTTTATAATAATAAATGATTTTTGTAATTTGTTTGATCCACTAAAAGATTTGACAATCAGCTTAAGTGGTCGAAATTATCCTACAGTTTCTTTATTATTTCCAGTTGTTTCAATTTTATTGAAAAGTAAGATAACTAATATGGAATTCTCTACAAATCTAATATAAGAATTAAAATTTCGATTACTAAATTCTTTCAAAAGTCGCCTAATTTATAATTTAACTAATGATATTTTTGTGCCAGCTACTTATCTTGATTTTCGATAAAAAAATTTGAGTTTGTAGAGGATATAACCCAATGTCTGGGTTTAATAATTTGAGCAAAAAGTTTTTAAAAAAAATACTAACACCATAGATGCAACAAGATTGTTTGTTGTC